TCCCCTCTGTGATGTGGATGCTGCAGCTTAAGAGAGGGGACTGGGGCCTGTGTCCCCACAAAGTGCATCCAATGGGCAGTCTCTCGGAGCTCGGGGAGCCTTCATGACTTGATGCTCAGGGTCCCTGTGCCCCCAAGGGCCCAGACCTTTCTGTGTCTGGCACTTCCCTTCCGGAACTGGGATCCGGGCCTCCAGGCCTGCATGGGAGAGGAAGAGGCGGCTGGGAGGAGCTGAGTGGCCTCCTGGCGACACAAGCAGCGGGAAGCTCCTGTTGTGAGGATTCACACAGGGCGGCCCAGGCTCACCAGCACCCCTGCCGCCCTGGGGAGGTGACACGGGAAGGACAAGGAGACAGGAGTGTGGAGACCTGAAGCTCCAGCATGGGACGAAGCTGGGGACAGAGCCGAAAGGGCTGGCTGCCTGCTCACCAAGCCACCAGGCCTCACCTGCTACCGTGAATGGTGACAAGCAACACACGCCTGCCGCGCTGCAGCATGTGTGCACCCACCCACAGGTAGGCGGACCCTCGAGCTGCTTCCACTGCCCTATGGCCACACATGGGCGGGTCCATGTGCGATCGCTGCTTCCGGTTCCTTTGCACGCAAACCCGGAAGTGGAATTTCTGGATTATGAGGTAATTCTGCTCGTAAATTTTTGAGGAGCTGCCACACTATTTTCCACAGCGGCTGTAAGGTATTACGTCCCTCCAGCAGTACTGAAGTGTTCCAGTTCATCCCCATGAAAAACATTTGAAAACATACAGCAAATTATCGCCTTCTGCCTTCCCTTTTCAGCAGTAGGCACAAAGAGAAACACATGCACAGTAGGATCTGTTCTAGTTCGCCGGCTTTGTTTTGTTTTGCAGTACTGAGGACTGAACCCCGGCCTTTGCACTGAGCTATATCCCCAGCCATTTTCATTGTTTTATTTTTAGGCAGGATCTCGCTAAATTGCTCAGGTGGGACTCGAACTTGTGATCCTCCAGGCTCAGCCTTCCTCAGTGCTGGGATCACAGCGTGGCCACCACACTGGGCTCTGCTTTGCAAATATTAGCACGTCTGTTTCCTGCCTACACCCAGGAAAGACTAACATGTTCCAAACAATGCTTTCAGACTATGTGAAGGGACAGAGGAGGCATCGCGCTGGGGTCCACACCTGCATGTTTCTGCCCCCTTTTCCACGTGTCCTTCCACGTGGACAGTCCTGCTCTAAAAATGTCCTGGCCTCAAGTAGAGGTGAAGGTCTGAGCTGCTTGTGTGCACTTCCCATCACCAGGCAGTCCTGACTCAGTTTCCCACCCCAGCATCCCTGCAGGGTGGGTCCCAGGGCCTTGGGAGGGCTGCTGAGGCTCTGGGAGCCCCTGTGCCTCAAGACTTGCTTTGTTCATCACTGTGTGCAATAAATGATGGTCCCAGCTTCTCTAGGATCGGGGCAGAGAACATGTTTAGATGAGAGCAGGGAAGAAAGGAAGGCACTGAACTTTCTGGGTGGATTGTGGACGAGAGCCAGGGCAGAGAAGGACAGGACGAGGGTGAAGCAGAAGTACACGGAACACAGGGGCATAGGCCTGCGATAGTGTAGATCGGGAAGGTCCCCCCAGTTCCCCTGTGCTCATAGGCGGGGCTTTGGAGGGTGGAGGAATCATAGCAGCACAGAACTGGTCTGCTGTTAGGAGGTGGGGTCGGGTGGGCAGAGCGGCCCTGGGTGTGGTCTAGTTCAGTCATCTGCCTCCCTGGCCCCTCCCTTCTCTCTACTTCCAGGTTACCATGAGGTGAGCAGCTCTCCGCCAGGCCTTCCCATTTGGCCATTTCTGCTTTGGAGCAGCCCAGCAGGGACTGAAATGGTGAGACACAGTGAGCCTCTCCTTTAAGTGGGGGTGTTGGATGCTGTCTCAGTGACAAGAAAGTAAGCCAGGCTCAAATCCCATAGTCCCCTCACATCTGCCTCCCTCCCTCTTGCTGCTTCTCCCTGCTTCCCTTTACTGGGCCCCGTGCTGCTCTCTCTGAACTTGGGGGGCTCTTCCCCAAGGCAGGATGGGGTGTCACCTTGGAGAGGTGGGAGTGGACTACTCTCAGCGGGGAGGGGTCTGTGGGGTTTGTGAGTTCATGGAAGTTTGGGGAGAGCCAGCCCAGCTCCCTCTCCTTCCACTTCTCTGGAACCCGGTGGCCCTCCACCCAGGACCCGCAGCCCCAGCCCCTTTCCTGGGCCCACCAGGCTCTGCCCACTGCTCGTCCCACGAACTCCCAAGCCAGAGGCCGGCCAGGTCCAACACTCACCCTCTTCTTCCATTTTGATCAAATGGATCAAAATATATTTGTAAGAGGAAACTTTTCTCAGCCTGGACAGAGCAAGTAGGCAAAACATTCACCAAGGGACCGAAAAGCCACATCCGTGGGTGGCATCTATTAGCAAACACAGGACTCAGAAGCCATGTGCAGAGAGAGCACCCCTCCTTGTTGGCCATCTCAATTAAAAGAGAGAGAGAAAGCACAGGGTCCTGAGTTCGATCCTCGGTACAAAAAGAGAGAGAGAGAGACACAAAACATAAGTAGACAAAATAAAGAGCTGATGAGAAAATAACCCTTGAGAGAAGGAATAAAAAGTCACACATTTAGCAGAATGTTCTAGAAATAAATTTAATAGCCGAGATGGCATAGGGAGCTTCTGAGGAAAACACACTCCCAGGCTGACCCCAGGAGGACAGGGTTTAATTGGGACCAAGTCCTGTATAGAAAGGGAGCAGGCTGCAAGAACGCTGAACACCTTCTCCAACCACCTTCTTAGGGAAAACCCCAAGTCACCAAACACCAGAAAATTGCAGTGCTGCCTAAAACATTCCAGGGTTTTCCAAAAGGAAGGCAATGAAGGGTCATATTATGCAGACAGAATATGAAAAAGGAAGGATGGACTCTCACTTCTTTCTTCTTTAATACCGGGGATTGAACTCGCATCCTTGCTCTTCTGAGGCAGGTGGCAGAACCTCTGAGCTACATCCCCAGACCCCCTCACTTCTTGATACCCATCTAACTATACCAAATAAAATAATGCTAAATGGAACCCAGCATCTCATTTACTGTGAGCCTGAAGGTGCTTATTCCAGGAATGAAGAGGTGATTCAGGTCTAGGTAATCTATGAATGGAATTCAATATATTAAGATACTAAGAAGAAAATTGCTGTTATCAATTTGATAGATACCAAGAAAGCCTTTAACAAAATTCTACACTCGTTCATGGTTTACAAAAAGAATTAATGAAAGAGAATGGATAGATTCTTTTTTTAAGTATATAGCTCATATCAAAAGGCACTACTTTCTCATAATGGAGAAAATTTAGAGGTTTCACCATAACTAAAAAATAAAGGAGGAGGAGGAGGAGTAAGAATTGTGAGTGGGAGGAGCTGAGGGAACAAAGATGACCAATTCTGCACTTCTGGTTTTTTGAGGGGGGCATTAAACCAATGCAATTAGAAGCATAAGAGTTGGAAAGGAAGAGAAAAAATTATCTCTATTTACAATCATCTCTAGTTGTACCTCTGCAAAACCAAAAACCTCGCTAAGGAATGCTGCAGCACCAGCACCATAATCAAGGTGACACCAATAACCCTCTCAGATCACAGCACTTCTAGGAGACACAATGGAATAGCAAATATGAGTATAACAGCAAACTTTTCATAAAGTAATAAGCCTAATTAAAAAAAAAACATGCAGACATCTATACAACAAAGGTAAACGGGCAAATGAATATCTCTATCTACTTATATGTACACTGTAATGGTTTTGCCATATTTTCTCCGTAATTTGTCACTATCTCAATAAAAATACCACTTCTCTTCTGAAGTGAAGCCAGTTGATTTAGAGTAAGTGAAGCAGCTTCAGCCAGGACGTGGTGAACGCGAGGGGTGGTGCTGTGGGCTGGGGTCTCACACACGGAGAGAGGATGGCAACTGGCATCCAGCTCTGCACACAGAGCAGCGCCCTGAGAGGAGACTCTCAAGCCACCTCGAAGTCATGGACTTGCTTCTCAGACTTCTGACTGAAGACTCAGGACTCATCTGAAGATGCTTTTGTCTAAAGACTTGTGGCTGGCAAGTGAGCACTTGGAAAAAAGTTGCAGTTTCATTAGTCACTGTGGCAATGAGAATTAAAAAGCAACATGAGCCATGGTCCCCAGCTGTTATGGCCACAAATGCAGAAGTCGAACTGTGAGAGTTAATAACATGGGTCAACTTGGCCAGGCCTCGAGCAGGCAGGGTAGCCAGGCAGTGTTCCAGATGTTTCTGGGTGAGATGAACTTATTTATTTATTTGTTTGTTTATTTATCTTGGTTTGGAGACAAGGTCTTACTATGTAGCTCAGGCTGGCCTTGAACTCACTGTGAAGCCCAGACTGACCTCAAACTTGTGATCCTCCTGCCTCAGCCTCCCAAGTGCTGGGATTAAAGGTGTGTGCTACTACTCCCAGCTGGATGAGATTAACATTTAAATTGGTGACTCTGAGTAGAGCAGAAGGTCTCCAGGTTGTGAGTAGGTTGTGTGTAATCATGAGGAGACCTGAGCAGGAGAAAATAGGAGCCCTCTGCCCAGGAAACTGGGAAATGCTGACCGCTGTGGACAGATGGGCAGAGTTGGCTGTGGACTGGAAATGTGAACAGAATCAAGTCATTTTTGGGTATTGTAAAGCAAAGGGCCATGAGGTTGAGGGAGGGAAGGCGCGAGGGCGGCATCCCCAGTGCTCCTGGTTCCCGCCTGGCAGAGGGGATGACGGTACAACTCAGTGACCACTGGAACTAGGGAAAGCGTGCGCTCTCTTCCTCTCTCCTCCCTCCCTTTTCTTCTTCCTCCTTTTTTCTTCTCGCGCCCTCCCCTTTCTCTCTCACCAGCACTGAAGTCTTAACCCAGGATCTTTGCACTGAGCTACATTCCCACCCCTTTGTATTTTCATTTTGAAACCAGGTCTTGCTAAGTTGCCCAGGCTGGGATCAAACTTGTCATTGTCCTGCCTCAGCCTCTCCGAGTGTCGGGATCACTGGTGTGTGCCACCAGGCTGGGTGGAAAAGCTCTTATCAGCGTTACAACGCTGTAATGAGTGATGAAAGCATGGTGTATTACACGATTGTGTCACTGTTGCGGGCACTGTGGGGGCCTCGTGGCTCCTGAGTTACGGTTCTTGTTTGTCTTGCACAGCTCGGGCTGTTCTCAGCCTCGGAGCTAGGGACTTTGTGTGCTTTGCTTTTCCCACAGTGACCCCTGCTTGATGCTCCCTGGGCAGAGTCCTGCTCTGGGCTTCTTCCCTTGGCTCTGAGTCACTTTCCTGTGACTGGGTTAAAACACCCAGCTCCCACAGCAGGAGGAAGGGGCTGCTGCGACTTCCGGCTGTGATCTCTGGTCAGCAGGAAGGGCCTGGTGGAGGAGAGTTGCTCACCTCATGGCGGCTAGGAAGCAGTGAGAGGAGGGAGGGCCAGGGACAGGAGCGCATCTGCCGGGTCACCTGGGACCCCTCAGCCAGCACCGCCTCCTACAGCATGGTCAGCCCTGAATTCACCCACAGGAGATCCGTTCCCTCCACACAGGAGGCTGGAGCCTCCAATGAACTCCACACCCGCCAGGCTCCTTGCTTTGAGGACGTGACCACAGCCCAGGCCTAGGCAGCTGCTGTCCACCCCCAGCAATGTCCAGGCAGGGTACATGCTGGGCCGTAAGGAGGATGCCAGGTGGCACTGGCCGGGAGAAGCACCCAGCACAGTGTGGAGGCTGCTCGGCCAGGATGGGCCTCTTCAGACACGGGAGGTGGGCAGTACCTCCAGACTGGAACCCAGCCTGGCTCTGAGAACGTGAAGGGAGGGAGGTGGGAAGCGAGCCAGCTGGGGAGGCCGGGCCCCTTCAGTCCTGCAGCGTTTGGTGCCCAACTGCTGTCCCCTGGTGCCATCCACTGTGGCTGGGTCCACAGTCACCGCAGTGCAGGGGCAGCGGCTGAGGCCTCACTGACCACTGGCCCTGCCTGGCTTGGACCTGGAGACTGTGGTGCCCCTCTTCGCGCCTGGCCTCTGGGTCCCTGCTGCTTTGAGTCCTCTCCTGGGTGTGGAGAACCCTCAGCAAAATTCAGCTCCTTCCCACTTGCCTACCGGTGTCATTTGCCAGCGTCCTCAGGCCTGAAGCTCTCCCATGAATACCACATGGCCAGGGAGCTCCCTGTCACTAAGCTTAGTGGATTTCAATGTAAAGTGACCAAAGCAATAGGAGGTGTCCCTTTCCGCAGCACAGTGGGTGGGTATGGAGGCCACTGGGCTTTGCAGGATGAATAGGAGTTCTATGTAAGACATGGGAGGGTGAATTCACAGAGTGTGTTTGGAGAAATACAAGAAGTTCAGTACTTTTGGAAGTTGGGGAATGAGGGTTGTGAAGTTGAGCAGCAGCAGCACCTTTCCGAGGCAGAAGCTAAATGAAGGGAGAACCCACCAAGGCCACAGTCTCACACCCATTTACCATGTTTCCTTGGCAGGAATTCTTCACTCCTTGAGTGGGTCTTTCTGGAAGGATCAGCTCCTCTCCAGTCTGCCCTCACAGGTAGCCTGAAGTCACAGAAACAGTCCCAGGGAGGCGGGGCATGGTGTGCATGCCTATAATCCTAGCACTTAGGTGACTGAAGGAGGAGGGTCTCAAATTCAAGCCCAACCTGGGTTACTCAGCAAATTAGCAACACTTTATCTCAAAATTTTAATCCAGGGCTGGGGATGCAGCTCTGTGAGGGCCTGGGCTCAATCACATGAGTGAACGAATACAGAGAAATCCTGAGGAGGCGGGTTGGATGGTGGGGCTGGGACAGAGGCTGTGCCCAGGCCTGGGGACTGGGAGAGAGACCCGTGTGGCCCCCGAGAAACCTCACAGGCTTCTCAAACCCAAGTTCACAAAGCAGGTCTGGGGCCACGTGAGGACTGTGCTAAAAGATGTGGCTCTGTCAGGGCCGTGGGCCCCTTTCTCTCTCCCGGGGTCTGAACCTCTTAACCACGCCTTCGCACTGGGTGACAACCCCAGCCCTTTTAGTTTTTATTTTGAGAGGGGCTCTTACTGTCACCTAGGCTGGGCTGGAACTTGCAGTCATCCTACCTCAGCCTCCCAGGGTGCTGCTTGACTGAACAAGCGCTCCTCCTGTCCTGCAGGGGTGTACCCAGCTTCGCCGCATGGAACCCATACTCTAGCTGCAATTGGATCCTTGTTTATTTGTGGCACTGAATAGCAGATAGCTGTGACCAATGAGTGTGGCTGGTGGCCCTCCTCACCTGGCAGGTTCAGAGGTCGGAGACAGTGGTACACCTTTTCAGGAGTCACCATCCTCACCTTTTCACTGAGGCAGAGATTTTATTTTACTTTGGAAGGTCCTTTTGATTTCTGACCAGCTTGGTGTTGCTGCCCGGGGTGTTTTGGAGACATTCAGGGAAATCTGTGGCTCCAGTTTAGCCTCCTATCAAACCCCACGTGGATGCATGAGTGTGGGGCTTGCACACGGTGTCCCTGTCACTACCAACAGGGCTGTTTATTGGCAAATCTGTGTTTCAGAGGCAAAGCACGTTTATTTCCTTGGCACAGTTGCCGGGCAAGGCCACGTCTCCCCGCCTTGGGATCTGGACGCAGGAACTCCACGAATCTACGCACACGTGGCCCCATCTTGTTCCTCGCCATGTGGGAGTCCGTCTCAGTGTCCCTGGGTGAGTTTCTGCCACAGTTCACACAATCAAGGGCACCTGCAACCGAGACAGACAGTTACGCAGGCCCGGCGTGCCCAGGAGCTGTGCCGCCAGCCTGGTGTGGAAGATGCTGAGGTGGGCCAGCTTCCGAAGCCTGTTCCTGCAGTAAAGCAGGAAGTGTGGGGATGGCCAAGGTCCCTGCGACCTCCCAGTGCCGCTGCTGCCCCATCCAAATGGCCCCCCAAGCCTCCTGTGTGTGCTCTGGGTCCCGGGCTGTGCTCAGCAGTGGGTTCATCACAGGTGAGTTCAGGGCTGACTGTGCTGTAGGAGGAGGGGTGGGCTGGAGAGGTCCCTGGGGTGACCTGGGAGGGTGCGCTCCTGTTCCCAGCTTCTCTTCCTCTCCCCACTTCCTGGCTGCCATGCAGTGAGCACCTCTCCTCCGCCAGGCCCTTCCACCACGCCATTTCTTCCTTGGAATCAGCCAGCTATGAACCAAACTCTTCCAAACCGTGAACCCCAATACACCTCTTCTTTAAGGTGTGGGTCTTGGGTGTTTTGTCCTGGAGATGGGAAAGTAACTAATACCCTCCTGGCCTGTGGTGGGCCCCCAGCCTTCCTGTCCCTGTGGGAAGGGGCTCCAGGTGGCCCATGTGTGGTGGATGTGCTCCACCCCAGTACACACGATCCCAGTGTGGATGGGTGAAGAACCACAAGTCCTCCTGTGGGAAGGGAGGAAGAGGCCGGGGAGCTCAGGGGAAGCAGAGAAAGGAGGGGCGAGGAACCGAGTCCAGGGCCACATGGAAGAGGGCAGCAGGGACGGTACCTGGGAACACCGCCCAGAGAGAGGTCAGAGAAGGCAGGAAGCAGTGCACTGGCCGTGTGCACCCGAGAGGGAGGCCCTTTGAGGCACGGCCAGTGTCCCTCCCAGTGCCAGGCCCCTCAGCAGGAAGACTGCTGTCGCCTCCGTGACATGGTTTTCTCTCTTTCTGGAACCAGCTCAGAATTCACCACAGAGCACAGAGGCCAAGAAGCAGAGAATATGTCCAGACTCAGTTTACCACCTGACTGCAGGCTTCGGGAAGCCCACAAGGAGCAGTGTCAGCTACTGGCAGAGGGCTGGAGGGAGGGACTGGGACAGGGTGACCTACAGAGATTGCATCAGGCAGTGATGGTACAGCCTGTGACCCCAGCACTGAGGGAGGCTGAGGCAGGAGTGTCACAAATCCCAACTTGGCTTGAGCAACTCAGCCAGACCCCGTCTCAAACAATAAAAAGGGCTGAGATAGAGCTCGGTGGCAGAACACCCTTGGGTTGATCTCTAGTACCTCAGAAAGAAAACCCTCCATTTACTGTTTTTAACAGTCTAACTGATGTGAAAAACTACACAAAAGAGGAAATAAAATGCTATTGCAGGTGAATATAAGTCCAAGTCCTCCCTCCTCATAATGGTAATCAAATTTGAGAAAGTTCTTTTAAAATCAGATTTGGACATTGGAGAGTGCTGAATGCCTTTAATGTGGTTGTTGACATGATTGTGAGTTTTTATTCTTTAGTTTAATTGTGAGGAGTGAACTGTTTCAGTAAGCTCAGCCCTGCATTTTTAGGACAGCCCCTGTGGTCATCACGTTAGACATTTTAAATACTGTTTTCTTTTTTGCAATATCTTTGTCTGAGTTTGGAACCAGGGTTACTAGCCTCAAAGAATCACTGGAGAAGTCCTCCGTCCTCATCAATTTCTGGAATGAATGCTGGTTACAGGTTTGTGGAACTCACTGGGAAGCCACTTGGGCCTATTAGACAGAGGAGGGGAAGGGGTGGGAGGGGAGCAAGAGACTGGGGACTGAACTCCGGGCCTCGCAATGCGCTCCATTCCCAGCCCTTTGAGTTAGGGTTTTGCCAAGTTGCCTAGGCTGGACTTGAACTTGGGATCCTCTTGCCTCAGCCTCCCACAATGCTGGGGTCACAAGTGTGTGCTACGACACCCAGCCATGTATTGCTCTTGAGTGGGCTTTGCACTTCTGCAGCTTTCACAGTTTGCACTTGGTGGTTTAAGGTACCTTGTCGGTGTGATACACAGGTACGTTCATTTGCTTCTTTTGTATTCAACTCTTAAGTCTGCTTCTTCCACCATTCTATTTAATTTTTTAAAACACAGAAGTCATTTTTCAAGAGTCAAAAGTTAAATCTAGAAAATTACACTCATCCTGTACCTATTTCTTCTACCCCACAGGGACAGACTCTTTCCCCAGTTTCTGGTTCAGCCTTCTGGTTTGCTTTGTAAATATCGGCAGAGACATGCAGCCTGAAAGTGATCAGAAACACTGGGGCCTATGGCATTTCGTTCTGCCTCCCTAATAATTAAAATTGCTGCCAGAGTTCTATAGAATTAAATAAAAGTTTATGTTTTCCAGTGAAAAATTATACGAAATAACCCCAGTGCTGCTCCCTCTTAATGGGTGGGACCCCGGTGGACAGTCCGCTTGCTGCCTCCACAGGGCCAGGCTGGCCTCTCTTTTTCCCTGCTGTATTAGTCTGCAGGCTTACAGATTGTACTCGTTTTGTTAAAGAGCAGCTTGTTGGTTTAACTGCTTTTTCTATACCATTTTTCTTTTTTTTTCTTTCATTGCTTTCTGCAGTGACCTTTACTAGCTCTTCTTTGCTGCTTACTTTACGTTTTATTTTTACTCTTCTTTCTCTAGTCTCGCTAGGTGGAAGGGGGCGCCTGTCTCTCTCTGGAACAACACAGTATCACAAAATTCTCCTTGAGGGACAGCTTTTGAGGAGTGTGTCTTTTATCACAGCACGTTAATTTCCCTTCAATTCCATGGGTCCTCGTATTTGGGTTTTTCCTGAGGTCAGCTTGCTACTCATTTCTAGTTACAGCACACCTTTGTTCCTTGCAACTCTAAACCCAGTGACGGGAACCATTTTAAGCAGTTATGCCCACGACCTTCCAGAGCAGCTCTGATCCGTTCCACACTCTGCACCTCGTGGTGCCCTGCCCCTTCTTGCCTGGCAATTTCCAGCTGGATGTCAGGCATGGCCATTCGCACCTTGGGGTGGGTGCTTCTGTCTTCCCACAGACATTTTTATGCTCTTACAGGCTGGAAAGGGACTTTAATCAGTGTGGCCGTGGTGGGAAGCTCGGTCTCACAGCTGTCCTATCCTCTAGCTTTTGTGATAAGCCCCATTTTATTGCTATTGCATAAAAGATTGTTTCTATCATTCTGTTACGAAGCATTTCGTGGACCGTTGAAAGCTGGAAAAATGCACAGTGAACACCTGGTGCCTGCCCCGGGAGCTGTGACGGCTGCTCACCACCTTTGAGCTCCTGTGCCCTGCATCTCCCGCCCATGCGCGTGCATGGAATTTCATGCATTCTGAGGTGCGTGGCAGCCCCAGTTCGTGTCACTGAGGTTTTGTTTTCTTTCTTTTTTTTTGGTACTAGGGATCGAACTCAGGTCTTTGTGCTTGCGAGGCAGGTGCCGGAACCACTAAGCTAAATCTCTGGCCCAAGGTTTTGTTTTCTAGTTGCTTGTCTCAGGGAGATACACATACCCGGCGGTACTTCCTGAGCTCAGAACCTATTTTAACCAGTCCTCACCAGCACCGGGTGAATTTGGGTGGGTTAGGGCAGAGGAAGGGCAGCAGCAGTGGGGTGGCTGTGTGGACCCCAGCTGCAGAGCCCCTACATGTCTGTGTGAGGCCATGGTGGGCACTGAGTCCCCCATACAGTGGCTGCATCTCCCAGGTGCCTGCCCTGTGCCTGGGCCACTGGGGAGGTGTGGGAGCAAGCAGAGGGGCCTGGATCTCGCTGTCTCCTCTAAGGACCCCGCCAGGCTCAGCTTCCAGCCCCACTGAGAGGCACAAGCAGGCCTGGCCAGTGGGGCCCACAGGAGACACAGCAGGGGCGGCTGGCCCACTGTGCTGTGTGGCACCTGGGTCCCTCCCGCCTGCCCACCTTACCCCTGGTGTAGGCCTGGGAGGCCTGGGCAGCGCACACAGCGTAGGGAGGAGGAATGTACCATTGGCTCTTGCAGGTCTGGCCGCGTGGAGTGTTGGCCTCTCCCTACCCTGGGCTGGGGACAGCTGATCCCAGGGGAACCTGGACTAGAAAAGTTCTCAGTGAAGAAACGTAATTCTTAGAAAGGGGGAAGTGGGGTTCCTGAAACTTGGCATAAAAAAAGAAATTACAGAAGAGTGGGATGGAAAAGACCTGGCCCAGCAAGAACTGTGTTCCACCCAGCTGCTCCTCTTCCAGGCATCTCCCAGAAAGAGCTAAATCCATCACGTTTCAAGGACCTGTGCTCGCTCACGTTTATAGCAGCTCAATCTTGGGAGGGATGGGCAAAGAAAACGCAGCGTTTACCTGTCATGGAGCACTACTCTGCCATAAAGAAGGATAAACTTGAGTTGTGCAGGAAAACGGATGCACCCTGAGACCACTCTGTTCAGGGAAGTAATCTGACACATGAACTTGAATATCCCCGGCTTCTCTCACACAAGAAACCCCAACTATAAATAAATAAAGAGCGAAACAGAAGATAGATAATAGCAAGTCGGGAGACCTGCAAGCGGGAAGGGGATCAGAGGCAGTGCGGAGGGAGGAGAGTGGACGGGTGCTGTCTGTGACACCACACGGGGGAGCAGTCACTGCGCAGCAGGCGTGGGCTGATGAGAACGAAATGCTTTAAAAGGAGGGGACGGCGCCCCACGGGGATGGCCAGGGCAAAGGCCACACTGGAGCCCTCTCTCCATAACTGCTGTCCATGCGGAGAATGGGAACCTACCGGCCGGGCCGCACCTGTGCCCCATGGGTCTGTGCTAGCAGGGTGGGGTGGCACTGGGCATGCGGGGTCCCAGGAGGTGGTGGCAGGTGAAGTGCCCAGGCCACCATGGGCTCCGGTGACCTCTGGCTTGGACAAAGAGAAGGGTGAAAGGCTTTGCTATGGTCACCACAGAGGAAGCCAGGAAACCCTTCGAGTCCTACCTTGTTCCTGGCCTGCCCAGGAGAGGCGGGGGAAGCAGAAAATGAGTGAGGTGAGGGGGATGCAGGCGGGGAACAGGGGCAGCAGCCGGGCAGCGAGAGCCCAGTGGTTCCTCAGGACCTGGTGTGGGGACCTCACAGATACAGCCAAACAGTGTGCAGGGGCATCTCCGCCCTCCCCTCCCGTCATCCCACTGCCCTGCTGTGCCAGGAGCCTGGAGAGCTGCCCAGCGCCTGGGCAAGAAAGGAGAGGTGGACGCACAGGCAGCACCTGCCACACCTGCCGTCCTGAGAAGCCAAGCAGAAGGAAGAGCAGACACTGCACAGCACAAGGGGACAGGAGCACCTCGGGCCGGGAGGCTCCAGAGACCTTGGGGTCCCTGTGGCGAATGCACAGGGTGTCCCGGAGTGTGGGATGGTATCTGTGAGGCCCTGGGGTGGCTCCGTGGTTGTGCTTGTAGACAGGAAGGGTGGCTGGGGAGAGCTGCCATGGAACATGGTCCTGTGAAAAGTCAGCCACCTGCCGGTGGTGCCCGCCCTCATCACAGCATGCTGGGAGGCTGAGGCAGTAGGATCGCAAGGTTGAGCCCAGCTCGGGCAGCTCAGGAACTCAGCAAGCCCCTGTCTCAGAATAAAAAAGAGCCGGGGATGGAGCTCAGTGTGAAAACCCTGGGTTTGACCCCCAGGACTGCAGCCAAACAATGAATTTAAAATTGAGAAAAGTCAGCAAATCCCAGCCCAACCCCTGTGGCTGGAAGCTGCTGCAATCTGGGTGTCAGACAGCAGAGGCTTCAAGGGTGCGTCGCTCCTCTGGGATGAGGGCTCTGTTGTTCTGTCCGCGCTCTGCTCCCCATGGCCTCACAGCCGAGGTCAAGGTGGAGGGTGAATGCTGGCTCTGCCCTGTGGCACTGCGTGGGGACTCAGCAGCCGTGGGGCATGGACCAGGCGATAGGACACTGGGCACTGTGTGGCACCGCCCAAAGGTCCCATGGGCCATGTGGACATTGCCCTTGCCCAGGCAGTGGGCATACATAGGCCAGAGTGTCCACTCTGTTCCTCGCAGGATGTGACACAGCACGTGGGGAGGGTTCTTTCAGCACTGGGGACTGAACCCACGGCCTCTGCACTGATCTCCATCCCAGCCTTTTTTATTTTTATTTTGAAACAGGGTCTTGCTACATTGCTGAGTTGCTCAGCCTGGGCTGGAACTTGCAGTCCTCCTGCCTCAGCCTCCCAGCACATGGATGACACAGATGCCACCTGACCCAGCACACGGGCTGTTTATAAACCCGTCCTAGCCATTCCGCCCAAGTTCTCCACTTTCCCTCCTCCACATCTGTACAGGATTCCACAGAAACGGGATAGCAGGAAGCAGCCGGGCAGCCCACCGATGTAGGGGCTACTCTTCTGGAAGAGCCCAGGCTTGGCCACCCTGCCCAAGACCTTGTTTGGGGGCACTTCCTGCACCCTGGGACATCTCAGGCCATGCTCACAGCTGGGGAGCTCTGGGGGTGACCAATGCGCCCAGGTTGCTGCTGTCCCTGCTTCTGCACAGGCTCAGGGCCAGGACCATGAGCCCTGTGGGGAGGGTGCCCTGCCAGCCTGTGTGGGGTCCACCCGCCGCCGCGCCTGTGTCCTGCAAGTCCCCACCTCCTCCCCACAGAGCGCGGCTGGGTCCAGTGACCAGTGCCTTCTGTGCCGGGTCCTATCCGTAGTGACTGACGCCATGCAGCCTGGCCCCTGAACAAATGACGACGTGCTCTAGTGCTGATCATTCCTAGGACAGATGCTCAGGATGAGGCACAGCTTGGGGTGGGTGACGCTGGGCTCCCGAGAGAAAGCGGGGACCAGCGGGAGGCGCAGGCAGGGCAGAGGCCTCCGGGAATTGCTCATGGGCAGGCAGGGGCCATTGGCCACTAGTCCTCAAACCTGCAGTCTTGTTGTAGGGCCACCCGCTCCACTGGGCCAGGGAGAAGGGGACACGATGAGCACTGCATGGAGGGGATGGGGACAGGCGGACACGGCGCCCTGCCTGGAGACTGAGGATTGGAGAGCTGAGCACTGTGCTGCAGGAAGAGGAAGAGGAAGGAGGGGGGGG